CCCCCCCCCCCCCCCCGGCACTGCTGCTCCCTCGCCCTTCTCGTAGGGAACAGATTAAAGCCCATCGAATCAGGAAGGTTAACCCTTCCCTAACAGTCTCTCCCCCCCCCCCCATGATGAAGAGAGCCACCCCATTTCCAGCAGCTGTAAAGTCCACGTACTGCATCTCTTTGTCCGAGCCATTCGTTTTCAGTTTGTATCTCGCCTTGTGCAGCAGTCACTCCCCTCAGCACCCCTCGTGCATGTTAGGGGGGAGGAATTTCAGTCAGCCTAAAACATTTTTTTAAAGGTTGGTTTCCCCAAATGTCTGTAGAGCTTGTCTTTGTTTGTAAGCAATCCGTTTGCCAACCCCAGGCCTGCCTGACTCTGAGCACTCTCACAAAATACTATTGCGGTCCTTCTAAAATATATCCAGATTATACGTGACTATTATAGCAATCTTAGAATAATTGGAAAATCACGAGAAAGTGACACGGATATGGTCATACGAAGATCCTGCTGACAAGTTAATAGACGGCATTGTGATATATTTATCTGCACTCACAGTTTGTATTAAAGTTTACACAGTAATGTTGAGACAGAATGGGTTTATTTATGTATACTTAACTTATCTTTTAATAAAATAAAATTACTGACTCCCCTCAGTGGCCTCCCCGGCCTTCTCAGGGGAACGGCCGGGTGCCGTATGACAAGAAACCGGCGCAGGGTCCGGGCTGGACCAGATTGCAGCTCCCCCTTAGAACCCAGCACTTCAGCCCCAGTAGCTTGCAATGCCTTTTCCCAGGGGCGGCCTTAGCAAGGAGGGAATCCTCTAGCAACACTCGCCTATGCCCTCGTTGCATCCAGGCTCGTTAGCGGTAACGACACGCTGTATAAGAGCTGCCTTTGAAGAGCATCCAGAAACCGCGGCCGGTGGAGAACATGGCCGCCCAGATGGAGTGGACGGTGCCAACTCTGGGTTGGCCCTGTTGGCTGCCAGTTTGCTCCCGGGCTCCATGCGCCGTGACCCCATGCGCACTACGTGGTCTGGATCCGAGGTGCTGAAAGGTCCACCAATCGCCGCATAAATCAGCCCACTACCAGCTGCCTCTCAGGCCCTTCTCCGTGTGCCCCTCCCACTGTAGCTCTGACGGGCAGCCACGTGGGAGAGGCTCTTTTCGCCCGTGGCACTAAAACTGTGGCACTCCCTCCCCAGGTCCACCCAGTTTGCACCCTCCCTGATGGTTTTTTGCCATCAGGCCCGGAGCATTTGGGCTTCCCCAGGTATTTGCCGCTGTTGGCTTCGCTTCATTGTTTTTCTCTCACTCCTCGGAGGCTGACGACTCCTGCGGTGGTTTTCCCTGGCTGCATTTTTGCTTGGCTGTCTTGTGCTTGTTAGATCCGTTTGGTGTGTCGTGCGAGTCTTTTTTGCTGGTTTTATTGTTTGGTCTGTTTTTGCAGCTGTGCATTAGCCACCTGAGAATCTTATAGAAGCCAAAAGGTGGGATGGAACTGTGCCATACGGCAGTCGGGAAGATGCCTGAAGCACCTTGTTCCCATTTAGGGGACATCGGTGGTGGTCTTAAGAAGGCCGTCCTCTCTCTCCGGCCCCTCCCCACATCTATACGATCAGATTTCGCGAGACTTGCCTACCTTGCAAGGCTGGTGTCAAGATGACCGAGGCAGTGCCAAGGCAGTGCCTGCAAATCGGCTGAGAGCCCTTTGCCAGCCTGAGCGTCTGTATGGCGCTTTCCTCCTTGTTTATTATTGAAAGTGTGCGAATGGAGGAGACCGTATAGCCCGGTGGAGGAACCCGGACGCAGGCATCCCGGGTTTGAATCTCTGCTTGGCTTTATGGGCTGGGGGTGGGTGGGCTCAGGAGTGCAGCGAGGTCCGTTTTCCATCAGTAAAATGGGCTTAATGAGTGCATGGAATTGAAGAGGCCGAACATGGATTTTTCGAGCGTTTTAGAGCCTTGTTTCCAAATGGATGAAAGGCTGAAATAGGTTCTGGCCGACTGAACCAAGTGTGCGGCCGTGCAGGGGGGACGGGACGTTTCTGTCTCTGAACGAAGGGGCGGAGCTTGGCACAACGTTTGGGCCCTGGATTAAAGCACAGGCACCAGGGGGGCTGGGGCAACGGGGAGGTCTCTGAAAGTGAAATGTCTTACCCGGGAGGGGGGGGAGCTTTGTCAGGAGTCTGCACCGGGCCCCCTCTAAATACACTCCCGCGCGTTCCTTCTGTCTCTCTGTCTTTCTCTCCCTCTCTCTCCTCGCTCCCCCCCCCCGCAGAAACTTAGAAGGTGGCCTTCAGATGAAGATAGATACCGCCCTTGCCCCGCACCTGCCCCCCTCTTCCGCTGCCATCAGCTCTAGCACGGATCCCCGGGACCGCCGAAGGTGAGGGTCGGTGTGGGCAAGGGCAGGGAGTGTAGAAAGCGAGGGACCCTGAGCGGAAGGCCGCCTCTCGGGACGGGACGAGGGGGGCCGCCTCGGAGTTTGAGCTCTTGCGCTTCAGCCTGTGAACTTCTGCGAGCGTGATCTTTGCCCGGTAGAGAGAGAGAGAAACCCTTGCAGTGTCTTGGTGTCAGAGAGAAACCCTTGCAGCGACGGCCGTTCTCGGCTACTTCTGTGCTTGAAGCACCACTAATCGACTCCTGCCAGAGATGCTTTTCTATCTGCGTGTTGCCGCCCCCTGCTGGCCTCTCCTTCCCTCTGCGGTTGGACAAAGGGCATCAGAGGAGGGGTCACGGCTGTTGCTCCCATCCCACCTCGAGTACACAGCACCGCGTCTGTGCCGTGATGGCAAGGAGGGTGATGTGTGGTGGGGGGGGGCAGGCGCCTTGAGCTGTCTAGGGGTGACGGAGAGGGCACTGAGGGCTTCCTAAGCGGCCACCGGGAGTGGAGGCTCAGTGGGGCTCGGAGGGTCCGAAGGGAAGAGCCTTTTCCGTGGTCCCCGAGCTGCTTGTCTTCTGTGCAGGTCCTACCAGACGCCCGTGCGGGATGAAGAGTCGGAGTCCCAAAGGAAGGCCCGCTCCAGGCTCATGAGGCAGTCCAGGCGTTCCACGCAGGTACAGGCGGGCTCCAGAGAGTGCGGTTCCACAAGCAGGCAGGGAGCTAGGATCGCGCCACTGAGTGGTGCTAATGCCACCCTCCGGCACTTGGGGGGCGGGGCCCCACATAGCTTGGCGATCTGTAGGGCTCCGTTCCTGCAGCAGCCCCTTCGCTCACCTTCTGTTTCCTCCTGCCCCCCCCTGCTTGCTTCAAGGGAGTTACTCTCACCGATCTAAAGGAGGCTGAGAAGACCATGAGCCGGGCTGGGGACTCCAGAGCGGCCTCGGAGCAGAGAAGCAAAGAGGACGAGAAGCTGGAAAAAGATGGAGAGCAGCAGCCCCAAGAGGCCACGGTAGAGGTGGCAGGACGTGGGCAGGTGGGCGGGCGAGGATGGGGGCCGGGCCTCTCATGGCGCTAGGAGCTCCACAGGGCAGGCCCGAGGCCAGGATGAATCTGGTAGATTCGGACACCACAGCCCGATCTAGTGGGACAGTTAGCGTCAACCTGGGGGCCTCTTCTCACTCTTTGTGGTTGGGCAGGGAAGGGATCGTCCATGTTGTGTGTGGATCCTTTGTATGCAGTTCCTAGCACTGGAGCAAGTGAGAGTCTGGTGTAGTCCGTACATCTCACTGTGGTAAAGTGGCGCCCGTCTATCCCAACCAGCCCCCACCAGTCACTCCGAGCCTTAGTTTGCCTTCCAAAGATGGCCTTTTTGAATCGGTGGAAGAACAAAGTGCAAGGAAGAG